GTCCCCTTCGAGGAACCATGCATCACCGTTCTCTGATACGTGCGACGTCGTCATCTTGATCAACCCTTAATGGCTAGAGCGAGCCATACGGAGAGAGAAGGGCGGGTGAGAGAGAAGGAAAACGCGTGTGAGCGCAAGGTAATCGCTGATCGTCATCGTGCTCCTCAATTTCCTATCTGCTACTTCGATATGTAGCCACGTACGCCGTCCGTTTCTGCGTCCTTCATACATCCACCCCCTCGCTTCATCCTCCGTTTTCATCCCCACTGCCGCAGGAGAGTGTGTATATATCACCTCTCACGAAATTGAACTCTGTCTTTGACGTGGCACACCGCGTTCGCTTCATGAATATTGATCGGCAGCCGTTAATGCGCGAAATTGATTGCGGGACGCTCGCCCGGCTCCGACTCATCAATTCGATTCGTGTCGATTTCAGCCCCCGTGACCCCGTCGATTTCTTTTGGCGGTAATGTATGAGGGAGTTTCTTTTTTCCTCGCGTTAATTTTAATTGCACCCATAATACATTGGCTGGTAGCATTATACGAAAAATGGTTAGATCCTGGTTCGACGGCCGATTCACTTTTTTCAGGTTATATTTGTGTAATTTGATTAAGCGAATATGTTCTTTTGCAAATTTTTTAGCGTCATTCCTATTTGTACAATATATATAAACAGTTTTACAGGGAGAGTCGTGTCATTTATATGTGAATGATATTCTTTTTTTGTATTATTAGTTTCGTATAGCGGTATGCTCATAAAACAGCATTGATAATAAGTCAGGATTAATTTATAAAATTAGAACATGTTTATATTTGCAACTGAAGTTATTTAAGTTACTATCTAATATTTTCTTGGGATAAAAAAAATTGTTTTGTATATAGTTGAGGTCTGTCTGCAAAACTTATTGACAGAAATGAGGTAGTGGAGATAAACACAATTTTGGTGTGTGATAAATAGATGTAGAGGCACCAGGTATTCCATGCGTTTGAAACTGTTTGACCTAAATGATTCTGAATAGCGACCTAAATAATTCTTTGATAGTTTGTGGAAGTTTTTAGATAGATGATGGACTGTGGTAATAAAATGGAAATGAAACTGAAAATACTGATTTGTGATATTAGTTTCGAAATATCTATTGTTCAAATCTGGAAAGATATATAAGTTGTACATATAAGAATATTAAAGTTAGAAAAGTGTTGTCAAGATTCGTTAAATGTATAACGTATAGTGAAGAAAAGATAAAAAATATAGTAGTTTATATTATTGTAGTATCTAGAATATTTAGCGTAGGTTAAAGTATTGTAAGATGAATGATTTGTTGTGCGTGCGTAAGGGCGACCACGTCGTATTGCGACGGACCGGCGCCGGGATGTTTGGAAAATAGTGTGACTGCGTTTAGAAAATCTCGAGTGGCTGAAAGAATACGAGGAAGAGTGTTTGGAACTGAGCGACTGGACCGTGAGAAAAGCGTGTACGAGACTGCGTGAATTTTGACTATGGACGAAAGATGCGAGTGAGAAGGGTGCAAGGGTGAGAAAGACAGAGCGAATGGGGGTGTGTGTTAAAAGCGAGTGGGAATGCGTGCGTGAGGGACATTTTTGTGAAAGACAGCGGAGACGAATATTTTGTGCGTGATATCGGATAGAGAGCGTATGTTGGCCTTCGTGGCATTAAGTTGTATTTTTACGTGTTGTCCATATTGTTTCCTTAACTCATTAAATACATATATTTATTCCTAATTCTCTTTTTACTGAAGATCCACCTTTTCAATATCTATAATAATAGTAGCCCCACTATAAACTTGGGGGTTCGTTCGGGATCACTATATTATTGTAATAAAAAGTTCGATAATAAAGAAAGAATATAAATTGTAGTAAATTCGTAATATAAATAATAGCTAAATTCAATATGAAGACAAGTATAGCCTTTGAAATGTTGAAACCGACACTAATTATTTGATTAAGTGCAAATGGTAGTTCATGCCTATGCCACATGAAATGAGGTGTCATACAATAGAGAAATAAGTAAAGACAGTCGCCGACAAAGCTTTGGCAGACGTTCCATAAATAAATAAAGAAATTCCTTTGAAACACAAAGGAGGAGTAACTGATGAGACATCTACTCTTCTTCGTTTTGGCAGGGCATCAGTGATAATGACAATCGTCTGTCTTCGGTCGCTTTATAATGAGGAATACCATATTAATGATATTACATTTTCATAATTTGTGTTCTACGAGTATGAATATACTTGCATACAGCACATTTTGTTTGTGCAACGATTCTCCTAGAAATATTTCAATTCCGTTATTAAATTTTCTATCTTACGACTAATTTTTACTTCATTCGAGATATAAAAATTCCAACACTATTCTACTATCTAACAAATCTTTCTGTGCCTTGTATAATTGAAATTCTGCAAGAAAAAATACCATTAAGGATTTTGAAGTTTTAACCTCAAATACCATAGAAAGAGTAGAAAAGAGAAAATCAATTCATTTAAAAAAATATCTTCGTAGTTTAAAAGAAAAAGGACCTATGCAAATAAAATCGACGATTTCCATTCAATTTGCCGGTATTTATCTTCTAAACGTGAACGAACCAGCTCTATTTATTCGAGGATTAAGCGTTAATCGGTCCCATTGGCGCATGGACCGCCACGTTTTCAGCAAACGTTTCTGTTAAAAAAATTCGCTGCGGTTGAAACCAGTCCGAGCGAGCATTTTTATATTACTTGAAACGTCGACGAATCCCTTAATCCCCTTTCCCGAGTAACGTCAGCCGACAAAACCTTAAACCGCTCTCGTCCGGCGCAACAATTTCCAACCTACGAATCCGACCTAACCCAGACGCAGCTGCCAATTTCACCGACATATTCCTCGAATCGGTGTGTCCACGTTTCAACGGACCAAATGTGTTCAGTTTTTATGTTTCTCCGGTAGGATGATGAAAAAGGTAAGTACCTTAACAATGTTATATCTTTCAGGAATGTGCATAAAAAAATTCGTTCCGAACTTCATTTTTACATTTCGCAGAAACCTAACGGTATAAGAAAATCTTGTTCTTCAAGTGGTCTAGTGAGTAGCGTATTTTCAAACTTACTATATTTATCATATTACAAAATAATTTATGGAGATAGGAGAAATAAGAAGAGTATATTAATAAACAATCAAAATAACTATTAACTTGTATTTCTCTCTTCAAACCACATTCATTAAGATTTCAATTACATTTTACATTCTACCGTGAAAACTTGGAATTATGTCTAGCATTAATCTCCATCGATCAAACCAATGTCTTATGGTTTCATTTATTTACTTATACCAGTTTTATATTACTTTCCTCTACTCAATACAAAGTATAAGATACAACACTAAAATAAAAAAAGGTAAAACCACGATGCCGTTCAAAAGATAGCCAACCATATATCAGTTCCAGGTTCCCAACCACATATCTAAACCGTTCCAAAAATCAGCCCAAAAACTCATCCACGAAAAACCATCCCGAAAATCATCCCAACGTCAAGATCCTCAAACCAAGAGACACGACCAGCCCAACGCTCATCTCCCCCAACACGGCCTAGCCCAGGGAATGTGCGCATTCATCGTGGCGGGCTAGAAATCCGAATGCACTCACGAGCCCATTCTCTGCCGTGAACCGCGGACGTCCGTGCGGGCCGCGTGTCCCTGAAACGGCCGCAGCGGACTTCTAATGCACGCGATCGTGAACAGGCATGCCGCGGCCATAAAGGCCCCTGGCCCGCGAGCATGAATATGAATGTGTACACAGATCAGAATGAATGGACCTGGACGCAGTCGCATGAACGGAACGGTGGACGTGAAACTGGATACCGCGCGGGGGATGATGCGTGCGGACGCGGCCGAATCCCCCGATGAAAACTCCCGCCTGCTCGGAACGAGCGCGCCGCTGAAAACCCCCGGCGTAACCGGTTCAGATTCAATTTACATAATGGAGAAAGCTCGAGACAATGTTTGCGCAGGGCCTCTCGCGACGGCGCCCCTCCTCCACACGCCTCCTCCTTCTTCTAGTCGCACTTTTTCACCCTCCCACGCCAGCCGTTCGACCTTTCCGTCTCTGGTCCGCCACGGAACGCCGGGGGATCTGGTCGGAATCAAAGAACTTGTTAATGGGTTCATTTGGATTCGATCATCGCCTTACCTTTCTTCCATCCGCCACCCCCCTGCCACCTAGCCTCGCCTACCCAGCCCCCGCGTGTCTTTACTCATTTACCCGTACCAATCTTTGCTTTATCGACTCACCTCTAACTCCGGGCTCTTTGTGATCTCGCGATCGGGGGAGAGATCGCAACGCGATCGTGATTGGGAGCTCGGGGGCGATTGAGTTTTCGGAACTGTGTATTGATCGAGGCGTTTGGCGAGAGGTGTGCGTTAAATTTGATCTTTTTGGGGGATTGAGATCGTTGGAGTTAGTTTGATGTTAATGTTTGAGTAGCTGGAAATTGAGGACAGTTGTTATATATGAATGTTTAGTGTGAGGATGGAGGATTGGTGATGGTGAGATAGTCTTTTGGTAGTAGGGAGTACGTTATTTGAGTTGTGAAGGGATTTGTGCAGTTCTGAAGGGAAAATTAAATGTTGCGATTGGAGTATTTCGTTTGCCATTGTCGTCAGAATTATTCTAACTACAAAGTGCGTCCGTTTAATTCAGTTTGATTTAGCTTAGCTTTGTATTTCAAGTACAAATGCAGATAAATAAAAGAGAACTTATTGTTGTCAACGTTTATAACCATTTGAAGAGTGTCTGCAACGAGGAGCATCCATTTCTACAAAACTCTCGAATATTACGTTCAAGAACACCCAACTGATTTAAAATAAATTCGAGTTCGCAAACTTTCTCAACAAAACCCGCAGCTCCGAGCAACAAGTTATCCTTCAGTCGACAACTCCGCAGCGAAAAACAAGACGAAAAACCTATTCAGGTCGTCTTTGATTCGAGCAGCGCGGATTCTTCGTCGATTCCATTCGCGGTCGTCTTGAGATGAAAATTACACAGAGACCAGCTTAGCTTGCTTCCGTCTCTTTCGCGTTTCTAGCAGGACAAACCGCGTTTCATCGCAGGGCGGGCTAAAATTGAATTTTCAAGAAGAATTTCACGAAGTTTACCAAAGGCTATATAACCGTGCACGGTTCAGCGACATTTCCATATGAATTCGCAATCCGAGAAACTCGTGCGGCCTCGTCGTGTAATCAACCCGTGATTTCATTGAAAATCTTAGCCCTCTCCCCATCCAGCACCACTGCCGCGCACCTAACCCCTTCCAACGGCGGCCTGAAATGTAATCAACCGGCGATTTCATGAAAATCTCGGTCGGTTACGGTGCACCGTGCTTTTTCGCGGCGGGTCTCCTGGCGATAATCGTCGCGGCCCCGGAAAATGAAGAAGAAAAAGGGAGGAAAAAAGGGAAGAAAGGAACGTAGGAGATCTTTGGGAAAGATCCGCTCGGTTTCAGCGCGCCCATCCTTCCCCGCTTCTCCGTCCCTCTGAGTGGAAAGTCCGAACAGAGAGCCTCTTAATAAGGTCAAGAAAGACTCTCGGCTGTTACAGTCAGTTGGAATAGAAAGATCAGCGATTCTCCAACCCTCGTTCTCTCTCCACCCACGCGTCCCCCCTCCCTGTCGCTTCGAAATTCTCACTCCTCGCTGATTAAAAATGCCTTAACGAACGGTGTGCCGTTTATAGGGACGCTGAAAGAGATTCGTCCGGGAAAAGTTTCTTCCGTATCACCTACCTCGAACGTTATCTTAATAGGTGCGGGATTGAACGAAGTGGAAATATGTATGAGTTTTGATGGAATATTTAGCGCACTTGTGCGATCGTGCATAATGTAGAGGAATTGAATATTTTAGTTTATTGAAATATTTGCTACTTGAGTTTAGTATATTTTTGTAGGTATTGATGTGAACTTTCTTTTTGACTATAGATGTTTGGTTAACTAGTCTTTTAGTGTTTAATAGTGCAAGTACAGATGATTAAAAACGATTTATGTTTAACTACATGCAAAAATAGTGGAAATGTATTCTTCTAAGTTTCTATGTGACGTTCATTATGTTAAATTAAAAGCTTAATTTTGAAAGTAATTTCGGACATGAATAATTTTACAATTTTGATACTTAAAATATTTGAATGTTCACATATTTTGGAAGGTATTGGAGTTTTAGTGTTAAAAATGATAGAAAGTTTACCTTTTTGAAGTAACCACCATGGAGTCGCATGTGACCATTCAAAGCCGGTATGTTTTTGAACTTTCGATGGCAGAGATTGCACTCGACTGGTTTCGGTTCTGTCTGCGTTTTATTGGTTACCGTCACAGTGCCGGGGGACGCTGAATTTCCCGGCGACGGACTGCTTTTTCCTACATTTCCGCTCCCCGGTGAGTTAGCCTGCGGATGCTGTTGCTGGTGTTGCTGCTGCGGTTGTTGCTGTTGCTGTTGTTGCGCTTGCTGCTGAGCCTGTTGCTGTTGTTGCTGTAATCAAACAGTAATATCATCGTTTAATACATAATTTTCGTTGCAACGTTAGAAATATATATTTATATGTGACCTACGAATTTCATGCATTTGTAATTGCATACAGATGAATAAATGTATAAAATGTAATAAAGTATTATACTGATGAGTTAACTTGTTGGCTACCGAGCTTCTTTTCTGAGTTCTTCCCGTAGACACCATTTATATATTTTTCCAATAGCGTTTTTCTGTTTTTCTAATGAAAGTTTATGATCATAACACATATATTATCAGGCTAGATGTTAATTTGTGAGGACTTTTTTCAATCGACTTATAGTTAATGAATATCAGTAGATCCCTCGATAACGAAAAGAAATATCCAATTAACAGTCTGTTTCGTAGGGTGTAGGTGGGACGAACTTAATTTCCATAAAGATCTTTACTTAATCGGTACGGGTGTTAACGAAGCTTGAACGGACGAGGACACTTCTTTGACACCTTTGTAGAACGATTAATAGAAACATCCTGCGTGTCGAGGGCCCTCCGCTCCTTAACTCTGAAGAATCGAGTGTACTCGAGGACACGATTACCATGAAATAAAATATTCGATGAAAATCACTTCAATTGAACGTTCTCGCCTCAGCAGCATCGATAAAGACGCTTTTATGTTGCATTCTTTTTGCTCTCGACTACTTTAACACGTCGAAAAATTATTCATTTTTTGCGTTTAAAAGAAATATCAAACGATGAGAAGAGTTCACGAGGAAGAAAAAATAACGTATAGCTGTTCTACGTCTAAAACTTTTCTTTTCGTGGTTTATCTCGGACCTTATCTTCGCGTTTTGGAAAAATGAACGCGCGAACTCACCGTGGAAGAAACACGCGATTACATTAGACGATCAACGAGATAAATTACGGACAGCTTCAATGAAAAATTAAAAATAGACTCCATTTTTCATTTCAACATTTCATTAATTTTTTCATAAGGAATCGTTCCTTATTAGGTTATCCTAGAATTTAGACTAGTTTTGTACATTTCTTAATGATATTTAACATAGTTTTCGTAGTTTTCACTACGAAAGTAATTTATTTTATACTTATTAATATAATAATTTTTATTGTATAATTACAATTACATATGTTCATTTATATGATGATTAAAAATATATACAAGTAATTTTATAAAGTCCCGTGTACACGATTATAGTGTACAATAGAAACGGCGATAGTAACAATAAAATACCAGTATCAATCAATCCTTCCACAACTTCACTTTACAACACAAAGAATCTTCCAAATCAACAAAACTCCAAAACAGCGAGGTCTCCAAATTCAAGAACATAACATCTCGAAAACCAATATTTCCAAAACCGTTGCGCTCAAAATCCAGCCACGAGAATGCGTCAAACAATTCCGTTGCTAGTGTTCGCGCGAACTTCGCGTCGGAACAAGGAAAATTGAAATTCTTCGAGCCGTGACGTTTGAACGCGGAGGTTGAGAGGGTGAGCGTGAAATGCATCCCCTCTGTTCGAGAATTTATCGCGCAACGTAATAAAAATTCTAATAAAACCGTTTGCTTCTTTCTTCCGGCGTTTCCCCGTTTCGTCGTTTCATTCTCCCGAGATAAAAGGGGGCTGTGGGAGGAGGGGGTTGATGCGTGATAATAATATGGTCGGGCGGGGAACGCGGAATTCCTTCTGCCCCTCGGTTAAGCCCTCTCGAGAGCCAAGCCATTCCTCTTCCGGCTGCTTCGAGGCGGCGTGATGCAACTCTGGAACTTCGTGAACGTTAACGGAGAAAACGAGGACGATGAGGGGGTGGCAGGGTGGTCCGAGGGGGACAGGCAACGGAATAGCTAAGTACAGATCGAGAACGATGCGCCTTGTTACGCGGCATAACGTTCCGTAATTTTCATCCGCCTGGAACGTATACGAGGGAAACACGGGGGTCTGGGTCGAGGGGTTGAATATTCGCGATGTACGCGTGTTTTTGCGCTTATTTGTTCCAACTTCTTCCACTCTTTACAGCGTCCGAACGGCTCGATGATAAATGCGACCCTGCGTCGATGACGGGGATTTATCTTCGCCGGGGAAATTAACATTTATATCGTGGACGAGTTAAAGGATCCGAATTGTGTTCCCTTATTTGGGAATGTGATTTCATTAATTAATTGGTTAATACTTTGGATATGGATTTTATTGACGGATATGTAGTTTTCTTATTTGGGGTGAAGTTGAATTGTGTTCTTTTCTTGAAGAGTGGAATTTATTGGGATGTGGAGTTGGTGGAATGGTGTATGGAATTTTGAAGACCTTAATGGAAATCGATTTTGTGAAGTGTTTGAAGGGTTTGGTTTAATTGATTTTTCATTAGGTGTATTTATTTTGATAAAATAGTTTGAGATACTTGATAGATGTTAATGTCATAATTAAAAAATGAATAAAGTTATTATTACAGCGTGATACTTTCAATTGGTTTAATTAGTATTTCATAACAACAATAAACAATGTCACTATATTAATGCACATAATTCCTGTTTAATGCTTCGGTGAAACTTAATCAATCCCTTACTGATATACAAATTTTGGTATCATTATTCAGTTGATGCTATTGTACGTAATGCCTAATTATGGTGACACGGTATAGCGATGTATGATTTATCAGATATCGATAGCAATGAATACAGATATTCTATTAATATTCGAAACACAAATAGCTATTTTACGCAAGGCATTAACATTTCCATGTAATCTACATATTTCTTTAAAATGTCAGTAAAAAATATCATTAAAGTTATATTTATATTTCAGTAATTACACAATTAGAAAAACGAAACACACGCAATATTTAAGGATACAGAAACTGAAGCAGCATATTTGTTTATCGGTCAACAAACAATTATACCCTGACGATCGTAGAGAGGGACCCAAAAATTACAATCAATTTTTATTTTAATAACTATGGAAACAGAAAAAACAGGCCCACAGAATATTCAAGAATACAGAAATTTATCCTACGTGTCTGTTTATCAGAGAACAAGTAATTACATCCCCACGATCGCACAAAGAAACCTAACCAACACGATTGATCATATTCCCGCGAAAAGAAATCCGAATATCGAATGTTCAGTCGTCCGAGTGAATTCCTGCGCGAGAATTCTCAGCGAAGATCGATTTCCCGGGGCGGTTCGACTACGTCCGGAACTTTTTACACCCGGCGGGGTCATTTGTTACGCGGACACCGAACGCGCGTCGCAACAATCACCGCGTTTCCACCGATTCCACGGGATTCCGGCGGGACACAAAACAGTCCGCCGCCCGCGATTGCGTCCCGATTGAAACCGGCGGCGGCGCCGCCGTGAGTCCGGCTTCAAACGAAAATTAATCTTCATTTAATTTCAGTGTAATTCCGCGGAGCGTTAATTTAAAGCGCGCCACCCGGCAAAGATGATTGATTCTGAAAGTGGATGGGGGATTCATTAACCGTTGAGTTTACGCGACAAATTCGCGGAACGCGCACAAAAAGGAAGAAAAATAAAGAAAAAGAGGGAACGGGGTGGCGGAAGAAGTTTCCGGAAACGATCGAGCAATCCCGGGTGAAATCGAACATCAAACATTCGGCGAGCGACCGGCCGGAATCGAATCGCGCGCATTGTCTGTTACGATCGGAGACTGGTTGATATTCTGCCGACGATTTCGATACTTCAATAAATCATCGAACATCAACCCTCTACTCCGTTCGTCGTCCGCTTTATCTGCATCTACGGGAAAGTCGAGGCCTCGCCTCCAACTCCTTCTTCATCTTCCTCTTCTTCCCTTTCTTCCTCTTTCCCAGTGTCGTTACGTAGTTAAGTCCTCGCGGCGAAATCGCGAGGCGCGCTCTAGTTTTCCATTCAGCCCGTAAATCGTTCCGTCTCTACGCCGCCTCCGTGGCAATCATCGCTTTGCTGTGATTCGGCTGAAGCCAGCCTCTCCTTGACAGGGACGCTCGATTTCCAGGCGTGCAGCCGCACGTGCGTTCTACGTGAGACGCATCGGAGCCACCCGCACAATGGAGTCCTCGTCAGTTTCACCTCTACCCACCACCTGCAACTACCCACCACCCCCTTACGAGCAGCAGCAGTAGCACTGGGAAAGAGTTTCAAGAGCTTTTCTTTCGGGTCACATCTCATCTTCGAGTAGCCTCCTTCCGTGAATATCGTCAGAAGCGGAGTCTTAACGACCGAGCGTCGTGCGAGCCCCGGCTCTTTTGTCACTTAAGAGAACGTACTTCCGGTGAGTGGGCTCCCGAGTCAATGCCGGGACCCGCGTTGAAAGGAGAACGAACGGAAGGAGAGGAATGAAACGGCGCGGAGGAGCGCGTGAAGGGCACTCCCGGCGCAATGTTGATCGTTTGGTTAATTAATCGGCCACGGAAATCGAAGATCGGTACTTTTCGAGGCTGTGATTATACTTCTCGCGGGGAATCTCGAGGTTATTCGAGTTTTCGAGGGAAATTTCGAGGAGATTGAAGCTTTTCCAAGGAATTTTGAGGAGATCGTATTTTTCGCGGGGAGTATTGAGGCGATTGCGAAGTTTTCGGAGTTCTAGGAGCTTACGAAGGTCTGATGTTAGGTTATTGATAGAGTTGATTAAGATTGGAATACTGTTGGGGTATTAGGTAATTGTTTTGTCACTTCTTGAATTTTCTAAGGAAAGGGTTTCTTCATTTTTATAGTATGTTTATTAAATATTTTTTCACTGAAATTTGTAAAGAAATTTAATACGGTTATATTTTATATTTATAATATATTTTATTATATTATTATCAATTCGATTAATTTAAGATTTTGAAAAGGAACTTAAAAACTTTTTCTGTCTCTAGCATTGCAAAGTGACAATTTGTAATTATTTATACACTGTGCGATGAAAATCGTGAAATAAAGAGGGTATCAAATTTCTAATTTAAATGCACGAAAAGAATCAACGTTGAAAACTAATTAGTACCGCGAGAATGAAGGTTATACGTATGATTGCTCC